CTGCTGACTGCTGAGACCTGTCAACCATTATCCCACAATGAGATTCTTTATGGCCATATTTGCCACATTGAAAGCTTATAGAATGTAGGCCCTCATATTGAATGTTTAGCAAGTAACCCCTTGCAATGACTGTAGGCAGAAGAGGTTTATCCAAATCCATCTCAACGCAAATCCTTGCATATCGCCCTCTAGCTTGTATAGCAGTGACTTTATCAATCTTCAACATTGATAGTAGTCCCGACTCCCGAGGCACATCAATAATTTTGATTGCTCCTTTACGAGCCCATGAGCGCGTAAGCTTGGTTTCCAAGAAACTTTGCTCTATCCTCTTCCGAAATTGGAGGAGGTGGAACCTCCTCATCTGGCTGATTTGTGTTCTCTTTCTCCATACTCGTACCATCCTCCGTAACTGCGACATTTGACTTTCGTTTAACCTTTCTCGTACTCCGACCAAGGACATCCTCCTCTGTAGAAGCGTCACCAAAAACCCTAGCAAAGCCAACGTTCTCCATCATAAATTATTTATTATAAATCTAAAATATAATTTATATATTTAAACTCAATATTTATTTTATATATAAAATTTATTATAAATTTTAGTTACATATAAAACATATGCATACTACATACTAAAATACTAATATATATGATATTTTAAAACTAAGATAATTTGTTATTTTATTTGATTTTGATTATATAAATAATATTTAAATGTTTTCTATCTTTCTGAGTTTTTCTACTTACGAAACTGATTAAGGAATAAATACGTAATTTGTATATTAAAAAATACATTAAAATTTCATGATTAACATTGATTAGTTAAATTTTTTAATAAAAAATTATACTTTTTATTTTATTTAAACTGATTAAGGAATAAATATGTAATTTGTATATTAAAAAATACATTAAAATTTCATGATTAAAATTGATTAGTTAAACTTTTTAATAAAAGTTATACTTTTTATTCCTTAATCAATCCCTTAGAACATTGATTAACATTTTTATATTTTTTTATCAAGAATTTGAAATATTTTAATTTTTGTGAAATTAATATTAAAATTTTATTTTATTACATGTATATAGTGCTAAATTTTATATCAAACACTATTTTAGAATATAATCCTATTAATACTCTTCATATCCAGGTAATTACGTAAGTAATATATTTTATTCTCGTTTAATAAACTATACTAAAATATTTTTTCAAACAATATTCATGACAATTGTCCCATGCATCGCATTGACACTCAAAACTTACTGAAAAATTGTTGAAAAAAAAATTCAAATAAACTTCATAAATAACCTTGTTGAAGTAAGCTTAAAATAATTTATAAGTAAAAAATAATTTTCAATAGCTTAAATAAATTATCTTAATTATGTTTTTAATCCTCTAAATTTGGAAATAAATTTTTGTGGTCCTCTAAATTTAAAATTTGTGTTTTTAATTTCCAAAATATTATTTTGACCTCTCAAATTAAAAGTTTATCTTTTTAGTTCATGTAATTTTAAAAAATATTGTTATTAATATTATAATTGATAGTGACAAATTGAAAGACTAAATAATAATTTTTTATATTTTAAAACTAAAATCATTTTAAATTTGAGAAGAAAAAAAATATATACCACAAATTCGAAGGATTTAACTCTACGACTACGATCTTTTGGAGTTATATATATATATATATATTTCTCGGTTCCTAGAATAGGATTTACATTCCTATCTCCGATAAAAAGGGAGAAAGAGGGTACTCACATCAATCAAAACAAATATTACAAGTACTGTAGTCTGTTGTATACAAACACTAAGATACCCTTTCTTTCCTATTTTTATATATATCTTCTGGCAAAATGTTCAATCATGCACCAAGTACAAAAATTGATAGATCTAAGCAACTACTATATGATCTCAACCTCATCTTTTACAAGAAAGAATAAACAAATGAAGATATCATAGCTAAGAGAAATCACAAGAAACAATAGGTAAGTGCTGTGATAGCCCTGAAAGCACGTCAACCCAAATCTTGACTGCTTCTTTAAAGACACAACTGTACAATGAAAATTCTATATACCAATCAAACAACTGTAGAAAATGTGTGTTTTTTTCTTCAGGGAGCACCACTAGGTCTATACTGATGTGCATGATAATTCCCTTTAGCTTGAAAGGCCATAGACATATGTCTTAACCTGCTAGTTATCTCTGTGAACGATGGTCGGTTTTCGGGATCCAGTGACCAACACTCTTCCATAAGTTTCCTCCATTCAGAATCACATCGATCGGGCACTGGAGGTCTAAGAGTGTTCTTTAAAATACCCCCTATTGGAACATGTCACCGAAAAGGAAGCAAGTCATCAGTAATGGGATTAGAAAGCTATCAATATTCTTCCGGTGGCATTAACTAGTAGATAAGTATAAAGAAAAAACCAAGTAGCACATTAATTAGAAATAAGACAAACAAAAAGTATATAAATAAGAGATAACACACTTTCCAAACTAATTTTATAAGATTAAGTTAGACCTAAACTTACATTATAAGAATTGTGAAGACATGTAACAAGGAACCTTATCTTTGACAAAAATTGGTATTTAGTAGGAGAAATTAACAGGTGTAATAGGTAGAGTATATAGAAGATACATGAATAACACATCCTTGAAATCCAAAATATCAAGAAAGAAATAAAACATAAATTTAAGAACACTTCAATTGTAAAGGATCATTGCATTGCATCATCAGAACAAGTGCATTCATAACTTGTACGTCCAGCTAGTCCAGAATTTGACACATTTCTCCAATCCTCTTCTTCAATACAAGTTCTTTGTTGAGATCCTACATCAACTATGGATATGGCCACAGTAGAGCTCATAAAGAATATAGATACAAATCAGAAGAGTTTTTCACAGGGACTTGCAAACAGTTTCGAACCTCAATTGAGTTGAAAGTTCTGAAATACCAATGTTTAAATATTAAAAGAAAAACATTTTATGCCTTATACATCCTTCAAATACCTGGCCAATTTTGTAAGGTTTTGATAACTGAATGAGCCAATCTGTGCATTCTTATACTAATTGTCTACTAGACTAATAGAAGTAGGATTGAGAAATAACATAAATACCATCATTTAACGCATTAGTCATACCAAGAAATAAAAATATGTCAGTTATCAAAGTAAGATTCACAATTATGCTGCCTCAGATTAATCCTATAAAACATTTCAACATATTTATGTTGTGACTTGCACACATGCAAGATCCTTATAGTAAAAACAATATCAGGAGATCCCAATGCTTCTATTAAAGCTGTCTGCATCTTTCATATCCAATAATTTTTCATATCAATTTTTTTTCCTCTTTGGCCAAGTTTGACACCCATTTCAAAATTCAGGCCAACATTAATCCATAATTTTTAACTCATAAAGCCGGCAACAAATAGGCCGTTGAGTTGAAATTCTGCAACAACTTGCATGTTGGAACAACTTGTTCTTTTTTGTCCTTTATCCTACACAGATCTCTTACCAGAGTTAATAGCAACAACTCAACTTGATCAGAGTGACAAATATTTACAAGAAAATTTATAGATATCACATCCCTCCACAAGAAATACCCACGAACCTTCACATTCATATCCTTTGCAGATATCAGTCATGGCTAAACAAGACCAAATAGAACAAAAAATAATGCTACCTTTTATCCCTCCACAAAATTTCTTGCCTGATAAAAGAATTTAGCTATTCTTTAAGGAATAATACTGTTGACAGATTCTTACCAATAATGGCACCACAATGCATATCTGCATAAGGTTCCTCCCCTGTTAGTAACTCCCACATTGAGATGCCAAATGAGAAAACGTCAACCTGTCAAAGTCACTCCACAAGCTAAATGCCTGCCAAAAGCCTCATTGGTTCCTTTATATCACTAAATTTTATATGAATGGTCCCCAGTTACCTTTTCAGAAACCCGGCTGCTATTCCCATTCAACAATTCCGGTGCCATCCACGGAAGGGTTCCCCGCACGCCTCCAGATACTAGGGTATTACGTTTAATCCTTGATAATCCAAAATCTCCAACCTGGAAGAAGAAAGCCAAGCTATAATAAAAGAATTGTCATATTAAGACGATTACATAAATTTCATTGAATCATTCTAATATGTTAAATATTTTTCCTTTGATGCACAGGTTGGATATTCTTTCTACCCCGGGCTTTTTCCTGCCCCATGTTCTTACAAAAAACAAAGAAAAAGAACCATGTAAGTGCAAAACATAGCATGTCACTAAAACAATGGGGTGCATGATGTAGAAGGGTAAGGACAAACGAGCTTGATATATAGTTGGAATTGGGTTGAGAGGCAAGGAAAATGACAGAAAAAGGGTTCTATGTTTTAAGAAAAGATCTAAATTTTGGAATTAAATTACATCAAAAGGAAAAATGCTTTGAACAATATTGATAATTCAAGAGATGTGTTCCGCCTCATTTTGAACATTGCAAGTCATTTCATAGACACATGTAAACCTTCTAGGTCTTTCCTAATCCATATTGTATCCTAACAGGACATTTTTTTGTGGTAAAAATATCCTGATAGAAATCTTGATGGTACAAATCATAAAACTATCTAAAATAATTAAATGACATGCCTAACATAATTCCTAACAAAATTACAATTAATTACCAAAGACCAAAACATCATAATTACCCTCCCTTGGCTGCATCAATGTTGATGCACTTGAAAAGAAATCTCATCCTTAAGTTTATAGGGAGATAGTTCTTGAAATCTTACATTTCTTACGAAAAGATTATATGAATTTTTTTGATTTGTCCATTCTGATTTGAAATTTAGTTTATTTGATGAAAAAAGTGAGAGTAGAACAATTTGAGTCCAACACACCAAGCCCGCAATGTATCTATAATTATTCCAAGACACTTTGGTCATTTAAAATTTTTCTTTTCTTTTGTAGATTTTCTGTTGTAGCCTCCTCATGTAATGAAGTTAGTTCCAGACAAAACGCCACAATTTTTCTTCACTCCATTTATTGCTTTACGTCTCAAATGTCAGAGATAAAGATCAGATATAGATAGAGTTTCTTTAAAAACAATTGGATCAACAATTTATATCTCAAGTATCAAGAGTCTAACACAACCCTCATGTGAAAGACCTTTAAGTATGGAAAAAGCACAATGCAACAATGAAGAATGGTGGTTTGCAAAGATCAATTTCCATATCACTTAGACATTGAGACTTCAATTCATAACGTGGATTTTATTTAATTTGGGTGCAATATTTTCCAAAAAGGATGTTGAGTGACTGGAAAGGATTTTCATGGGATAAAGTGGTGAAAGGAGTTTTAATCACCTGTATCACAAAATTCATTCTCATGACAACCTTCCAGAATGTCTAGAATCTCCATATTGCTTCCCAGTTCCCACATGTTTTCTTCAAGCATATGCCACAAAGCTTAATGAATTCATTGCTATATGTTTCCAATTTCCATGGCTTCAATACTAATAGACATAAGATAGGAAGGTAAAGAGAGAATAGGTTGAGGCAAAGTGTTGAAGGATAAAGGGTTTGGGGTCACAATGCTTCCTTTATGATTCTATTCCTAATTCCAAAATATGCCTTTTCACTTTTAATAAAACCTTTGATCAAACATTTTCATAAAAATAAACAATAAAATAAAAATAAAAATTTAGCATGCAATTATAAACCATGCTAAGATTGTGATATCATCTCTTTTCTTATTTGAAATGTTGAAAATTGTATATAATAAGTGTCTATATTCATCATCATATAGGCAATAGGCTAGCCAAACCATGTTAAGATAATTAGGATATCTATGATTTTGTATTTATTGCTTTTCAAAATGGGGATTTCATCATACGTTATAGTTTCTTAACATGGTACCTCAAATCTAATGAGCTGCTACCCACATCTATGTGTACCCTATGGACCCACTATTAACTGGTTAATTTCTTCTATACTAATATTTTTCTGGCCTTCCTCTATTGTGACATCCTTCTAGCAGCATCCTCTCCCTCTATGCACCATTGGCTGATGTCTTTTCCAACCGATGACCCTTAAATCTAGTCTTTCTTCTCTAGCTCAACCTATAGGCTGTCATTCCTATCCAAATGGTTGTTGCACAAATGCCATCACTGTTTTAATCTCCTCTTTCACCCTCAGTCTCAGCCACAAGGTGTGAAAGGAGCATCCTTTTTGGCTTCTATTTGTTGCTTAGTGCTCTCCCACTTCTGTTTATTCTCCTTACATCTACCCTCAACTTGAACTGACCTCTATTGCCAGTTGGTATATATCCTGTCCCTCCAAAACCTTTTGACACCTATGCATCCATCTTCTATACTACCCAATGTGACACATGGCTAAATTTGACTGACTCCTTTGATGATTATAATAAACACCGAGCCCTTGTTTTCAGCAACTATGTCATTGCCACTCCTCTGCTCTGACAGTTTGGATGGAAACAAATATTATACGTGGGCTTTAGATATCAAATTGTGGATTACCAAGCAGGACTACATGACCTACCTCACTACCAAAGGTGAATTTGTCTTTGTTTCCATGCACTCTAGGTCAACTAAGATTTGCACCCAACTATGTAGGATCAATAAATAAAAGATCCATCCCTTCTTGGAGCAGATTTTTCATGCTCACTGTCCAAGGTTCTTCATACCAATAGCACTCAATATCTTAATGAGTTTGGCCCTATATCATGAGTGTCATTGCCTCTCAAAAGTTTGAAAGCCTCATGTTTGATTATTTAGAGAAATTTCATGGGTTCTCCATGATTTCAAAATGTATTCCCCCCTATAGTTTACCTTTGGAATATTCTACCATCTAAAATCAAATTTTGGGCTTACCCACTGTCCTGGTGCTGAACAGCTGTATAACTTTGATATGCCTCCTCTTGTTGATCCTAGGCACTCTTATCCTAGAGTGTCAATCATGATCATATGACATACATCATACATGTAATCACTATAACAAGTTGAGCCACACCATTGAGAAATGATTCTCTTTCTATGGCCAGCCTTCTCATAGTCAATATTGCACAAGCTACTCATAGAACCCATTGAGTCATTTGATCATCTAACACCATTTTTGACTACCTATTCTAACTTTTTGAGTGATTTTGTGGATCATCTGACACCATCTTGATTCCTAGTTGTGATAATAATCTACATGCCCTAAATCCTAAATTTCACAAGACCAAACACATTGAGATTGATTTCCATCTATGTAAAGAGAAGATCTCCAAAACCAAAAACATCACCACTTAGCTCATTAATTCAAATGACCAGCTTGTGGATGCTTTCACTAGAAGTCCATGGGAGGTCCTTAGATAGGTTATATACATGACAAACATGGTGCATTTGACCTATATGTTCCAGCTAGAGGATCGTTGGAAATTATTTAAATGGTATCCAGATTCATTATATAGGATGACCACGTCATGTATTTATAGTAATTTGGCAATTTTAATTTGTATTTATTACCTTTTTGTCTGCATAACTCAATCTTAGCAATATGAATTTCATCAAATTCTCTTTTTTCTTGTTCCTTAACATGAGACAAGCTGAAGCTTGACATCTGGGATTCTTACCTTGCATATGGGTCGTTGTGGATCCCTTAGATTGACAAGCAAGTTGTCACATTTCAAATCAAAATGGACAATATTTTTTGAGTGCAAATATTCCATACCAAAAGCAGCATCCATGGCAATTATTAGTTTTTTACGACGATCTAGTAATCTGCATAAAGAGTTGAAATTTGGTATGTGCATAAATAAATAATTCAAAATCATATTAAACAAAATTAAACAATTTAGAATACCTTTTGTTCTTTACAAGGACGTGCCTAAGGGAACCATTGACCATATACTCTGTTACAGTTGCTAAGGTTCCACCGGTCCCATCTGGTACTATTCCATAAAATGCTACCACATTGGGATGATGAAGATTTGAGAGGATTTGTGCCTCTCTCCAGAAATCTTTTGCCTACCCAAGCATGAAACATTGTAAGATTTCAAGACATAGCTTACTTTTCTTTGAATAAAAATGACCAGAACTACTTTTGAAACTGGTATAGAATTTTCAAATGAATATCAAATTTTCAGAAAAATTGCAAAATAGTATGTAAGACATCTCTTTTTACCTTGTGGTTTAATTTAAAAACTTATGTTTAAAATATTTGAATTTGGGACATCAATAAATTTTATTTTTCATCCTGGTCTACATAGGCTGAGGGATACATAATAATGGCATAAAAGGGAGACGGGATGAGAACAAATCAGGGAGGGTGGTAGAGAGTGAATTTGGATTTTATCCTACTCTAATCCTCCCACTTTATTTATGAGAACTAACATTAACCTATGATTAGATAGAGATATAAAATATGTATGTTATTAATAAAAATTAGTAAATAACGGTGCTGAGAAGAAAAGAAGACTGAAAAGTGAAAACTCACCAACCGTTCTTGCTCAGAAGACCTCCCTGCAAAGCAGCTCTTTTTAATTCTCTTTATAGCAACATCTGTTCCCCGCCATTTTCCATGATAAACAGTTCCATAAGTACCAGATCCTAACTCTGTAAGTTCTTCAAGATCAGCATTCCTTATTATCTAAATTACATAGTAGTAAAAGTCAGTTCTAGGATAACTATATGATGTAATGCAGAAAAGCACTACGAAACTGGAAATTATTTAGTAACAGTCAAAAACATATCAATGATGAGAAGAAACATATCAAAAAAAAAAAAAAAAAACCCTTCCTTCAGGCATATTTAGTAGAACTCATTTTTATCAAATAACAAAGAATGTGTTCACGATGAATTTGGTTCTCTTCTAATCAATATGGCATCAGAACAACCGATTACAATAGGTCAAAAATGGTGCACTTTACTACCAAAAAAAAAGCTCATCATAATATCTCTTTACCACACCATATTGACCAACCAGTCAATGAGTATATAAAACTATTTAATTTTTAGCAATTATCCAATCAACTAAGACTTATGTATCAACAATTCTTAATTGCTAAATGTATGCGATCTTGAAGATTGAAGTAAAAACATTTCAGTGATGGTCAACCTGTAAACCATAAATGCTAGCTTCCATTTCTGCTATCATTGCATCAGAAAGGAATTCACTTTTGTCTGTTTGATCATCATTAAAATCCTGAAAATAAAAACAAAATATTCAGGAAATGATAAAGAAAATATCACAAACATCTTATTTCAGATTTCCGTACCTCAGGTTCAGACTCAGGGACGATGCTATGACATGGGGATACAACACCAATTCCAACATCATCTGAAATATATGGACGATCAACACCAGTCATGTCTTCTACATTGAAAAATGGATCCATTCGATTGACATCATTCACCCTATCTAAATTCTTTGATTGTTCTGAAATTTTAGCTTCAACTTTGGACATTCCAGAGGAAGAGTGTTCAGGGATAAACTGATCAACCATTTGACCAGTCCTGGTAATCAAGTTATCAAAAAAAGATGGTGCCTTTGTAAAAGACATCATATTGCTTGAATTATCCAGGCCGTTCATAGGCATGTTTAGACTTGGACCGAGATCATCACCAAATGCAGCAGGATACAAACTTGAAGAGCTTACTATTGGATTTTCTTGAAAACCAGTAGACATCTGATTCTTAGAAGGATGAATTTGTGCAGCTTTAAGAGAATCTGGGTAAATGGACAGCTTGAACATATTACCCCCTTGAGAACTTTTGTCACAAGAGCCTACGTCACAGTTTAAAAATGGAACATTTAAATCAAAATTTCCAGTCGATGAAAAATCAATCCATTGTTCACCATTCAGACCTTCAGGCAAAGCACATCTTTTGTGATCACTAGTCCTTTGGCTCATGTCAAGATCAGACGGGGTCTTTTCCACAAGACAATTTAGAGAGGGGCCCATCATGCCAGATGGAGCAGGAATTATACCCTCAGAAGGAAGCTCCCAATTCTTTTGCAATTTAATCTTAGCATTTAAGTTATTAGTAGGGAAGTAATCCAAAAGATGCAACTTAGTCACTTCTCCCATATCAACAACAGTTGATTTCCCCTCATGAACCTTGCTATCTTTGGAAATTGGATTACTTTCTTCAATTATCTTCATCCTTTCTAATTTCACAGAATTTCCCTGAATATCCTTTGCAACATAGCTGGCTCCATTCAAGTCAGTTTGAGCAATAAGGTTTATTTTTTCAGGTAAAATGCTATCCTTATGAACAGGATCATTCATTCCCAATGATTCATAGTATGGAGAAGATGCTGAATCTTGCCTTTTGTGCAGCTCAGCTGACTCAACTTTTGGCATCTTACTTTGTATTTGAGGAAGATGGACAATGGAATCATGCTGATGCTCCGTAAGGTTCACTTGTGAGACACTAGGGAGTATAATTGAAGATAATCGAGCCTTTTCAAGGTTCAGGGAAAACGTTTGACTAGTTACATTTTGTGAGCAGTAACCAGACTTTGCTCCACTCACGTGCAACTGTGGATCAGAAAAGGCATGGAGCATCCCATGAGGGGAGTCATTAATTCCATAAGATTCATCCTGTTGATAAAATGGATCATCCAAGCATGTAAGAGGATTTCCAGAGCATACTCTTCTTTCCTTTTGCAAGGACCTTCCACCGAACACTTCATGACTGTAACCGTCGCTTGGATTAACATATACAGGAGTCACTAATTCCTTGCCAGGATTGTAATCCACATGCCCTCCATTGAGCTTCTTGGGCTGATCAACATCAACATGCTGATAGGTATGAGTGTCACTTGACAAAGTAGCAGCCACTTGTTGAGGGAATCTGCAATCAGCAATTCTTATGGAGTACTCAGGATGTAGCTGAGCAGTAGTAAATGATGCATTGCTCTCAATACTTCCCTGGCATGAGTTGTTGCTGAGCAATTGTATATAACCTGTGCTAGAACTTGTTACCTGAATTGGAGTTGGAGGAATTGGCAAAGATCTTTGCAAATTCAGGGAATCATTCAAAATCCCATCTGGGTTTAAAGCATTAATACCATCCCTGATCTCAAAAGGAGAAGAGGCATTGGGAGTTTTTTGAAAAGCTGGAGTCAAATTCAAATCTGTCCCCATTGGAATGGCTTCATTCGCCAAACTTTGCCCACCGATGTTTGTCCTATTAGGGTCACCTATGCCATTTACCGCAACAACATATTGGTAATCAGGATCACTCTGCTGA